AAACCCCTGAGTAACCCAAGGTTAAGAGCCACTGTGTTGGACAACATTTTCACCCAGCAGGGCTGGTGCCCATGTTGAAATGGGATGATGGGAATTAGAGATAGGCAGGAATTAAAAATTGAATCACCAAATTTGTTCAAAATCACCCATTTGTTGATTCGTATTGATATGAATCAATGTCCAAGACAAATAAGAATCAATGCATGTTTAGTGATTTATGATTCATCAATTTGTTGGGCTATAAAATGCAGCCCCCAGGGACCTAAAGACACCAAAATTCCACTGACTCTTGTCTACAATCCCTCCAAGTTTGGTGAAGATTGGATTTCACCAAGCCAGCTGCTAAAGTGCACTTTCTTGGGGGGACCCACTTTGTGGGTGTCTAGCTAATTGTCAAAAATGCAGGATTCTCTGAAAAAGGCAAAAATACTGGAAAATATTGAAGGCAGCAGGAAAAAAGGAAGACCGATATGAGACGGATTGACTCTCTAAAGCAGTGGTCCCCAACCTTTTTGTCACCGCAGACCAGTTGGGGGAAGATGGGGTCCATGTGCAGGGAAGGCAGGGCACCCCTCGTGCTTGTGCACATGTGCAATGGGGGCTCTTGCATAGGTGTGCATGTACTTGTGTGCATGTGCAAAGGGGTGGGCACTTTAGAGGTGCTCACGTGGGTGCGGTGCATGCGCAAATGGGTGGGGGACGCTCACAGGGGATTTGTGTGCATGTGTGAAGGGGCTGTGCAGGGGGGACTGCGTGCGGGGGCATGGGAAATCTGTCTCCGTGGACTAGTCTGGCCCAGGCCACGGACCGGGGGTGGGGGACCCCTGCTCTAAAGGAAGGCTTGAGTTTACAAGAGTTGAGCAAGGCTATTGATGGCAGAATATTTAGAAGGGCTCTCAATCTTAGAATTGTAAATTGGAAGCAAATTGACTGCAGATAAGACAACAAATAGTTATAGCCATATTTGGATACACAGTATAGTGTAGTATATGGAGTGATGGACTAAGACTCTGGGTTCGAATTCCCACTCTGCCATGTGAACTCATGGGGCTGTAAGTTCAACCACTTCTGGTCAATGCAGCCACAATGGTTTGATACATGGGTGGTAAATGTTTCCCTCTCTAAATATAACATTTTTCTCGCCTACAGATTATCTACGTCATGCGAAACCCCAAGGATGTGTTGGTCTCACATTATCACTTTGCAAAGTTTTTTCAGCCATTAGAGGAACCTGGGACCATGGAAGAGTTTGTGGAGAAGTTCTTGAATGGGAATGGTATGAAAAAAGAAGAATCATTTGTCTTTAACTGGGAAAAAAATACTCTGAAGAAGGGAACTGCTGGGCTTCTTTTTTGGAGGGCAAACATTGTCTTGTAACTTATCTCCTTTATTTGTTGCATTGACCTTCAGGAAATACAGCCTGGTTGTCCCCTCGTGCTTTCAGGACTGGTGAAGCAGAAGACACAGCTCTCTCTCTCTCTCTCTCTCTCTCTCTCTCTCTCTGTGTGTGTTTTGCATGGACATACACACACAGACAATAAGTCATCACACAGAGAAAGGGAGGTTTTCACTCAAGGTGAGAAAGGCTATCTGATCGCACTGGAAAGGGTCACCTTGTTGTGAGAGAGATCTCTTAAAGCAATCCTCCCACCTCTTGATGGAATCACTCCAGCCTGGCCATCAAAGCAGTAGCTCTACTGGTGGGTGGGAAAAGATCCCGCTTGGCCACAGACTGAGATCAGGCTGGAGTGCTATTCCATGTACATCATGTGATCTCTGGGAAAGAGACTGCGGTGGACTATGTCACAAGCAGTTCAAAATGTGAGCTACCTCCCACGGGACTACATAATCAGCGCCTGCCTAACTCCCACCTCATTCATTCTCTCTACATACATCTTCTGCTCCAAATTAGATATGTTATTCACAGGGATCACCAACAAAGCAGTGTGGAAGTCTTGGCCTTGAAATAAAACCTATTTAAAATATTTCTGGGAATTGTAATTCTGTGCTGGTGGTCTAGGAAGATTCAGTTCAGTTATCGGTAAGATCCAGCTTGGTAAGATCCCAGAGACTCTTTAACCCAACTGTTTCATATTCAAAACTGGGTGAAAACAATCTACAACTGTGAATGTTTTCCTGAGAACTTTGGCTGAAAAACAGGCTGATAGGCTCCCACCTTCTTCAAAGCCCTGCTCTGTTGTTTTTCATCTGTATCTTTTTCTTGATTTTAATGTGTTTTATGGTGGGACTAGGTTATAAGATTTTATATTTTTTAAATCTAAATTTGATGTCATCTTTTTCTTCTTTTAAAACCTTGTAAGCAGCCTTGACAACTATTTTTTGTTTTAAAGTTAGCTCTAAACTTAATCAAGAAATAAATAATAATAATCAAGAACCATGTTTCTAAGCATCCAGTGGCTGAAATCCTATTGTACTTGGTGTATCATAAAGTTACGCCTGCAGATGTTTATGGAGAGCTCCACGGAGGCAGTCCTGCACACATTGCTGATATGGCTGAACAAGCAAGTGCATCCATGGAACTGTCTTTTGAATCATAGTTACACCTTTGTTAAAATTTTATAATGATTTGCACAACTTCAAGTAGCTAAGCAATAGAATGTTGGCCAATGAGTCCCAGATTGATGGTTAAACTAGGTCATACAGTTAGTCCATCATTAGAAGTGGTGCTCGCTCAGCAGGCAAAAGATGTTGACTATCCTAGTTTTTTTCTGCTTAGTGCTTGGCCATTGGTAAGTAAAAACAGACTTTGTTTGCAATTTTATTTGATTGGGTACAGAGTTTGAAGAAATTTCATGCCTGGACAGAAAATGCTTTCATAGCAAGAAATAAGCTGAGACCTCAGAGAGTTCTGGCCTGGAAGTGCCCCACAGCTGTCTTCAGAATCTGATTAGAAAAATCATGTACCCTCTGCCTGAACTGAAGAAGGACTATAAAACAGGAGAGTTGCACTGAGGATGGATCAGAATCAGTACGAACTTCTGGTGTGTGAGATTCATATTTTCAGTTGGTGAGATGAAGAGGACTGTATCTTGAAGTTCACCTTCCTTGGAATTAGAGAAACTGGATTTTTCAGTCCTCCTCTGCCCATATGTCTTATCCCTTGTTCATCTCTTTTTGAATTCTGACTTTGTCTTTGCTTCCCCCCACCCCCCCAGTGATTTTTGGTTCCTGGTTCGACCATGTGAAAGGCTGGATGAAGATGAAGAACAGACCCAACGTCTTCTTCATCTCTTACGAAGAACTGCATCAGGTCTGGTTCGGTCTTTTCCTGTGTTCATGCACCTACTGTTGTTGTTTAGTTGTTAAGTTGTGTCCTCTGTCGTCCCCGTCTCCTCTTGCCCTCACTCTTTCCCAACATC